TCAGCTACAACCTGTGTCACAAGAGGTAAATAGTGCACTAAAATAATTATAAGTTAAAAATGTGAGTACATTACAAATTTTAAAAGTCACAACAAAAAAAGTCTATATATTTTTTTAAAAAGCCAAAGAATTCTAACTAGACTAACAAACTTTCAAATAAATATGTTTAAAAAAAGCTCAGCCTTTGTATTTTTTTAAAAAAAGTATCAAGCAGCCACTCAAAAACAGGAAAAGTTGTCAAAGACCTTAGTGGTCTTTAAAAAAAGAGGTTTAAAATCAGACTACATAAATTTAATTGAAAACCCTATTAATATTACTGCAATTAAAACTGCAAAATAAAATTCCTAAAATTAATGTAGTCAGTAAAAAATGCAATAATTAAAGGAAGTAAAAGCAAAAAAATTAATGAGTACTAAAAATACTGCAATATACTTTAAATGCTTACGTAATATTGATGAGCTAAAACATTTAAGAGACAAGTCAGTTGAAAATATAGTGGTACAAGAACAAAGTAACGTCGCTTCCCACTGTTCCACAGCTTCCAGATGCTGGAGGCTGCGCTCCCCTGTCGTTAACATGGTTATTGGTCTGAAATCTCCCCATGGCCAGTCAGAGACAGACACATACCTGTGTCGCTCCCCAGCCCCCGTCGCAGCGTCTCTAGGGGAAGGAGAAGATGGGAGAGGTGAGAATTCAGGCCCTTGCATTCATGGAGAAATCCCCATTGCTTATTAATGTAACTGCCGTTAACTACGAGATGGTGCCAGAGATCAGAGGCCGATAACGAAGCCACTGCAGACAGAGCCAGCCCCACAGGGCTGCTTCATGGGGAAGGACGACTCGCTGAGCTGGGCTGTGAGATGGAGCCGAGGACCAGTGATATCACTCGAGTCCCCGACTCCTCCTCAGGGTGAGGGTCACTCTAACCAGAGGAGACGCCTCCCCCAGACTCCAATTCCCCTTTGAATCCCAGCAGCACCTCCTGCAGCATGGCACTTTTCAGAGAGAAATCGCTGAGTCTCTTCTCCAGCTCCATTAACCCCGGCTCCGGCTTCCGAAACATCCCGTCCTCCCTGCTGGGGAAAGGAGGGGTGAGAAATAGG